GAAGCTGCTATTCCGCCTTCGACCACTAGAGGGGGATATTTTGTTTCTTTTTTTCTTAGGTCAAGAAAGGTTCAGGGAAGGCAGGGAAAATACAGTCCAGGCAGGACAGTACCAGGCAGTCTGAAGACTGTCTCCCAATCCACTCTCTAAACGCTGGGAGGAGTGAGGAAGCAGACAGGCACCCTTTTCACTGGCCAACAGTTAACTGAAAGTTCAAATTTTGCACTTTCCCTGCCTCCCACGTGGTTTTTTTCAGTTTGTAACTCAAATCTAAGTACGTAAGTCAAGTCAATATTTTCCTGTGAGCGGTTCGTAAGTCAAAATGTTCGTAACTCGGGCCGTTTGTAAGTCAAGACCCCACTGTATACTCTGTAATCCTAGTGTTGCTAGTTTCTTACCTATTATTTGGAAGCATTTTGACTTTGAAGTGTATGATGTGCTAATTGTCACGCCTGACACTTTGAAGAGCCCACTGCTTTAAATTACTCAACTACCATATGTCTGTCTCATTGAAGCAGAACCAGGATAACAGGATTAGGCAGCAAAGAACAGAGTAGAAATACTTCGAGTTGTTGTAGCTGGAAATTATAGAATACAATAACCAGTGTAGTGTAGTAAGTAGCGTGACCAACTAGGACTCAGGAGGCCTGGATTCAAATCCCCTGTCAGCCATGGAAGCTCACGGGGTGTGTGGAAAGGATAAAACCATTCCTTAAGTGTCTCACTTACCTTGAAAGCCCTATTAGAATTGCTATAACTTGGTTCTTACTTTTTCAGTACATAACAACATCTGGAAACTGGGACCCAATAAGGTGCTAGCTGAGAAAAGCTCAGTCAGATGCTAAAGGCAAAATCTTGGTTCTTTTCACTGGTCTGGAGAAGATGTTCATGGGGAAATGATTTAAGTGCCAACAACAGGATGTGTGTGCATACATGTTTAGTTTCAAAACCTGTTTTGAAAATATGCGACTCATATCCTGCATACTCTTCTGAGTCACCGGACTGGAGCCCATATGGCTCCTTCTGGACATGGGGAAGGATGACAAGGGAGGGACCTGTGGCACTGGCCTGAAAGGCAAGAAAGACCAATTTAACAAAACACTATTGCCAGCCCTAAGTCTTCAAAGCACAAATGAGTCACATCCTCTGCTAGATTAACTTAGAGTGCATGAGGTTTTATATTTTTTAGGATCTCCTTTTTAGTACATTTGAGGGGGGTTTTTAAATTTGTTTTGATAGCTGGCAAGCTTGTGTGTGTACACATGTATATTCAAAGAGAAGCTTACATTTTCTAAGTCACTTGCCACTAGAATATACATTAAGGTTATGTCTGTATCAGCATTGGTTTTTCCTGGTTTTATGTCATCCTTTGGCCTTTACAGTGTTGATTAGATGCTTGCAACATGTTCAAAAACTATGTAGAACAGGAATGCTGAAGATGAATTGGCTACCATTCAAAGGGGTATTAGGGTGCCTTGTGTTTTCACAATGGACTACTTGCAGATAGATCATGAATATAAGTGCAAGAACATTGATCTAGTTTACCTAAATTGTTACTGAGACACACTGGATTGGTTTTTGCAATGAAAATGTTTTCGTATTCAATGAGCAAGTTTCTGAGTCGTACACGTTCTCTTGTACGTGTCAGTTCACTTACTATCTGTTTATCACAGCTCTAGTCTGACACTTAAGATGTCATACCAAACTGTGGTTTGCTCTAGGGATTTGCATTAACACCAAGATTTGAATTCAGAATTTTAAAAATATGGAATTTCTAGATGTCTGGAACTCTGTATTATATAGTCATTATTTTCCCCTTAGCCTGCCTTAAGGGAATCCAGGCTGCCCTTTGCAAAGATGGAGGCTGCAGCTTCCCTACCCTAAATGAAGCCACAGCCACCATCTTTGCGAAGGGCAGCCAGTCTCCCTTTTTACACACCATGGCTGTGGAAGTCAGATGGAGATTTCTGTGGCGATGGCTGTTATGGTGGGAAGGCATCATGGGGGGGGGGTGTCAGGTTTTTTAAGGAAACCCCTCCCACACAAATCAATGAATAAATTCGTGCTTCGTCGGTTCATGGGGCAGCTTCATGAGTTGTTAACTTTTGATGACTCACAAAGCAGGACAACTCACCAAAATAATGAGTCGTCCCCATTACTAACCAAAACTACTACAGTGAGAGTGTGGGCCATACACCATTCCCAGTTTGTAGTGATCCCAATCATGTTTGCCCCAAAGTCTGTGGCAGACTTTGCCTTTCTGCAGCTACACTCCATTGCTGCAGCATGTCCCTCAGAACCTCTTGAATGTTGTGAGCTGTGTGGCTGCCTTCCATCACAGCCACATTCAACAAGGCCTTTGTGTGTTGCCCTATGCCTGATGCCTTCACTTTACATCTGTATCCTGTCAGGGAGAGATAGGCATGTCTTATGCCTTGGCTGTTCCAGATGCCATTTGTAAAATGTACCATCTGTGGTCTTCCCAACTGCTGCAGTATCAATTGCCTAACATCCCAATATAAATCTGACACCACCCTTCAGCTAAGGGTCATTCATGATAGCAGTTGGAAATGGAATGCCAGTTCTGCCACAAACCAAAAGAAACCAGTGTTCTCTACCAGAGAGAATGGATAGTCATCCAGGGCAATGATCTTCCCTAGGTGACAAGTAATCCTGGCAACCAGTGTTATCTACCAGATAGAATGGATAGTCATCCAGGCCAATCATCTTCCCTAGGTGACAAGTAATCCTGGCATTTTTATGTGTACCAAAGGCCTTTTCCTGCACCCCTCCAAACTCCTCCAGTGTAGCCTGGAATCCTTGCAGTATACCGTATGTTTCCGTGTATAAGATGATACTTTTGTCTAAAATCTTTCAATTAAAAATTGATCTACCAGATAGAATGGATAGTCATCCAGGCCAATCATCTTCCCTAGGTGACAAGTAATCCTGGCATTTTTATGTGTACCAAAGGCCTTTTCCTGCACCCCTCCAAACTCCTCCAGTGTAGCCTGGAATCCTTGCAGTATACCGTATGTTTCCGTGTATAAGATGATACTTTTGTCTAAAATCTTTCAATTAAAAATTGAGGGTCGTCTTATACATGGAAGTAAGCTGAGTAGAGAACAGAAACAAATGGAGGGGGTAGGGATCAAAGTGATCCTGCCACGCAAGGCTTAGCAAAAGGAGGGGGAAAGCAGTGGTGAAAGGGATTGTGCAGCCTTTTGATCCCTACTTTTCTCCCTCCTTTTGCTAAATTCTGGGATTAGGAAGTGGTGGGGAAAGCAGTGATCAAATTTTTCTAATTTGAGGTTAGAAAAGTCGGGGTCATCTTATACATCTGGGCGACTTATAAACGGAAAAATACGGTAGATCTGCTGCTTGCTGCCTCCCACCTCTTGCTATTTGCCCACCCATCTCCCTGTTTTCCTGAGCTATTGGCTCAACCCATGTGCTCTGATTCTTCTTGCTGCTTGCCCACCCATCTCCCTGTTTTCCTGGGCTATTGGCTCAACCCATGTGCTCTGATTCGTCTTACTCTTCACAGTAAGGAAGCCACTTTCCCCACACAGTACCCACTTCATTTGCCAGCAGCAATGTTCTGTGCTGAGTCTTCGGGTGGCTAATCATGCTACTATTGGAGAGGTGGCCTGAGTCTTGCCCACACTTGAGCACCTTCTTGGGGTGCATGCACTCAGCCATGCAAGCATCTGTTGCACACAGTTGAAAATGTTCCAGGTTATTGACTTCTTGGGAGCTCCAGTATTTGGCAGCATGTTCCTAAGAGGGATTGCTAACTTGTCATGACTACTCGTTCCAGCAACTGGTTGGGCAAGTGCAGCTCGTTCCAGGTTATTGACTTCTTGGGGGCTCCAGTTTTTGGCTGCATGTTCCTAAGAGGGATTGCTAACCTGTCATGACTACTTGTTCCAGCAACTGGTTGGGCAAGTGCAGCTGGAGGGGCAGGGGTGAGTGCAGTGTCACATGTTTCTGCAGTAGTGCCCACCCAAGTCTCCTCCTCCAGATGTATATGTATCAACCACAATGCTGCTACTTCACACAGGAGAGGTTTGCTGGGATAGTGGGCTTGGGGGTAAACTGTCCTTAAATATGATGGACCTGCATGGTATGGATATGGAAGGCAATGTCTGCTACTCTTTGTTATTCCTTCTCCCAAGCAGAAAAGCAGCAGCCCTGCTACTGCCCATGCTGAAGCCCTCCTTGTCCTTCTCCAGCACATCATCTCAGAGGGAGAAAAGGGTCTTCTTCACCATTGGGGGGGGGGGCTTGGCCTAGCTGGATTGCACAAAGAAGTCACTGGAACATGTCTGAGGTTCACTCAAAATCTGTCCCACCTTGAATCAAAGGCTTCTCTGCCACCTCCTTGGTAGAGATGCATACATCCTGTAGTACTGCCTGTTCTTTCATAGTACCAATGCTGAACAAGACAGCTGAATGACATATTTTGTTTGGAAGATTCATAATAGCAGTTGTAGGCTGTCTTTTTCCTCTCCCTCTTCTCTCTGTAGAAGCTGCTGCAGTGGGTGCAAGCAGCATTTCTGCAGCCTTCCCCAAGTGTCTAAATCTTCCACCACACACATTTCATACTACCTGCAGACTCTGCCCAAAGAGCAGTATCTGGTTCTGCACAGCAGAATGCAAACCCTTCCAATGAAAATCACACATGCAGACAGACACATCTGTTAGTTTAACATATTTATTTATTTAATTTATATGCCGCCCACATCTGCTAGTTTAATATATCTGTCTGTGTATAACAAAATCTTATTTCCCTGCGTGATATACCCCAAAGGGGCCTAAGCCTAATATAATATTGCTGTTAATTTATAACATATAAATCTACCAATCCTAAATCTTATTTCTAACTACATAAATAATATACAGTGAGATATAGAGAATTTATAGGTAAGATAAGGGTTCAGAAAATGACGAGGGGAAACGGCTCCAATGTGAGCTTGCACCAGAACATTTCTTAACAGCAGATGCTGGGGGGATTTATAAGCAGCTATGTCCACCTTTCAGTTGGAAAGAACCCATGGGAAAAAATGCCTCCTGGAGTCTGTGCCTGCTTCTAGCTTTCATTGTGCAGACAGACAGACATTGACAGCTTTTGCTCTCATCCAGCCCCTCCCTTGGGAAACCCATGGCAACACCGGGGAGGAAAAACAGTTCTCTGCCCTCACTACTCTTGGTGCCCTTGTGTCTTTTTAAGTTTCATTTCTCAAAAAAATAACTCCAGGGTGCCTGAGAAAATAAGTTTTAATTTCACTTCTTTGTAGCAAGCAGAAACCTAGCTCTTTTACTTTCTGATCTACAGAAATAAACGGGACTCTGAATACAGTATTAGGAATTATTATTACAAATATTCTGAACTATCAAATTCAGATACATTGAGAATTATTCAAGTATCACATTATTCAGTTAATTCTAAATAATTCTGAATTCGTATGCACATCCTTCATTTACTATAAACTGGATGTAAGTGAATTGAGAGTGGGAGCTCCCTGGGTTTGTTGATCTCCTGCAGGACTCTCCACATAGATGATGAGGAGAATAAATGAGTTTAGTCTGTTCTCAACTTGGTCCCGCATAGATGTTTTGTACTGTATCACAGTTACACTAATGGGAGATCCTTGCAGTTGTAGCCTACTGTATATGGCAGTCACCATCAGTATGTCACACGTTACTATGAAACCTCATCTATTCTTGTTATTGTTTTGAACTCGCTATCCAATGATGTGCCTGTTTCTGGAGCTGTCCAAAAATATAACTGTCTTTTAATGAAAATGAAGGAATTCCAAATGCAGAATGCATTTGAAATGGATTTGGGTCTGTGGTAGATGGCAAAGATTTGTCCAGTTGTGCTGGCCTAAAAGTTTTTCTCTGTCTGTCCAGAAAGCTGCTGTAACAACCCCTGGGAGGAAACCCCGAGGCCGACCCAAAAAAACAGTAAGTTTTTGATCTTTGAAAGTAATAAATATTTCTCTGGAGGTGAAAAATGTGCTTTGTAGGTTCCTATAACATGCCTGGTGTTTCATTTAGTTCTTTGCACTTCCTAGTGGGTTTCCTAGACAGGAAAATAAATTAATTGCATCAAAAGGAGTAAATATGTCGGTTATGAACCTAGAATCTGCCAAATGGAAACAGTTGGCTGCAATTCCTGATAGTCACCCTTTGTACTTTGCTGTTACATGTGCTTATTAAGCCCTGAGACCTGACAAGTATTTCTTGCTTCAGCTTGTACTTGAAATGCATATTGGACTTTCTTCCCTTTTACTTGGTTCTGAGCCTGTTGTTTCAACAGAGCCAGTTATAAATGATGCTGAAACTTTGTGTAGTAAACTCATTTGACAGAGCTGTGAGAAACAACTGTAGAACTAGCGTAAAGCTGGCTGCGAAGCAAACATGGACAAAAAAGGCCCACTAAGCCTTTTTCTTCAATCCCCACTCCCTACCATAAGATTGAAGTGTGATAAGATTTTAGTCTGGGGCTGGAATGCAGCGCCAAAGATGGCAAAAAGGGGAAGCAAAGCCGAAAATCGGCTGATTAGAGTTGTGCCCTAATGCCAGCTTTTGATGCCCTTCATCTCAGCATGTATAAATGTGAATGACAAAATTATGTATGTACCAGGGTGGGTGAGATGTGACAATGTTAGGGATCTGGATGAGGTCAGGAACTGTGCTGCAAAACGGCAGATGATAAACTATTTCAGAAAATACTCTCTTTGTTTATTAGTTAGTTGGTTTTGGCAGCACAGGGATGCCTTGTTTACATTGTATACTGTCTTTCTCCCTAAAAAAAACCCCTGGGACCAAAGGCAGCTTGTAGTGTAATTAAAAGACAGTTTCACTTAAAAACTGACTGAAAAAGCAATATACAAACAAGAACATTTTGCCGTCTTTGAGATAACATTTCCCCCCAGTAACTTGCATAGATTTTGTCATGGCAGTGATTGTGGTAGTTTAAAGGGATTCACACACCTATTTTGGGGGCGTGGGGAATGGAAAGCATTTTATTGTAAATATTCAAACAAGATTAAATCAGTTTCATTCAAACAAAATGCTGCTAAAATCCATTTTAAAACTTCTCAGTAAAAAATAACAGTTGCAGTTATCAGTTGAGTTCAACAATGGAAGCCCTAGAGGCTATGTTTCCTGCCACAAGAATTTTGTTCTTTTGATGATGGTTTGAGATTTCCTCAGTGGTTTATCTGGTTTTAAGACAAAGCTATCATTTTGGCATCTTCCCCCATGTAGTTTTTCAATTTATAATTATTCCTAGTATTCTTTCTTTATTGCCCAAAAGTGAGTAACAGGAAGTGGCTTGTTCTTCATTAGCTGGACCAGATTTGGTTGTTACCACTGTGGCATTCTAACATTCCTGCAGAGCGAGTTTCAAACAGTTTCAATATGGCTTTTTATTGTTTACAGCAACCACAGCATTTCACAGCCCACTAAGGTGTTTTGGTCTATATTCAAGAATTCCTCAACAGAATTAGTTTTTTTCCAATTAGAGCATAGGGTACTAGACCCAATTTCTCACATGTCACTTCTTGCCACTGTAGCCCTGCCTAGCAAACAATGCCATATGTGCATACTGTTCCCTCCTAAATAACAGCTAAATTCTGTATCTGCCCTTATGCAGTTTCTATGTCATTCCTTTATTGGTTTTATTAATTATAGCTTAGCATTCTCCAAAGAGCTAAATGGTACTTAAATGGTTCTTCTGCCCCCCCCCCTTTATTCTCATAACAGTCCTGTCTGGTGGGTCAGGCTGAGTGAGTGAGTGGCCCAAAGCCATCCAATTGATGCCAAAATGTCTTGCAACTGGATTCTGGAAGTTTTGTCCTACTCTTGCCTTTTTATTCCTTTCAAAAAACTGGATTGAAGAGTAGGCTGCCGCCTCCTGTCTGTCGTGTCATGTAGGATTGGTTCCAGGCAGAGTGTCCTCCATGGGCTTCCCATGGCAGTTCTTTGGGCTTTCCTATTGGTGATAGGCGGCAGCTACAAGCCACCATTATAAATTCCTTGCATTGTCAAAATCTGGTCAATCTAGGGCATTATAAGATGTTGAAATGGTGGCATTGATAAGCTCCCTGTTAAATGGTGCCATTTTATTTCTCAGAGTTTCTCAAAATGACACCAGTAGCAAACATGGGCTCTTCCAATTTACTGCAGAATGCAAATAATACATTAAAGCTATCTATTTTGAGGGACATAGATTTAATACCAGCACTGATTACTGTCCAGAGGTGTCAAATTGTGGTCATCGCTGTGTTGGCAAGCAAGCCATGATAGGCGCAGCATCATTCTCTAGAGCAAACTAGGGCCAGTAGACCGCTTATTCTTTTAGAAGTAAAAGTAGGCCACCCAAAACATAAGAATGGAGACACACGCAAAGAGTGGAGACTTCTTTAATAGACTGGAGTACGCATGTTTCTACAATTAAAAAAATGAAAATGGGTTGAGAAGGACTTGTGAACTTCTGAGGCTTACACAGTATTAATAGTGAAGATGAAAGACAAGCTACGCTTTCTATCCTCTTCCGCCTGTCCATCCTCGTCTTCTAAGGCTGTAAAGTCATACACGCTTACATAGGAGTAGGTCTTATTGAACATAGTGGGGCTTAACTGTTAGTCCTCCATAGGATTGCCCTGTCCGTTCCCTCCATGCCTCTTTTTCTTCCCAGCCCTCCCTCAGAAACCCCAAAAGGTCTTTCTACTGTTCATGAGATTGGCCATTCTGTTCCTCCTGGCTCTTTTCTGGAGCTTCCTCTGCCACCACCCACAAAATCTGCACAGTTGAAGGCAAAAGAAGGAAAAGTCCAGCAGTGGAGGGGTGAAGGAAAGAACAGCAGAGGAAAACCCTTTCTGAAGTCATACTATATCTACTTTCTTGAAAGAAATGCACACAGTGGCTTTGCTTTCACTTCCCCAATACCACTGATGGCTATCCCAGCTGTGTTGCCACCCTCTCATGGGTCTGCTTGGTTGGAACTTGCACAAGCACACTTCTTAGTGAGCTGTGTTATTGCAATGACAGGAGCAGGGTTAGAGCCTTTTGCCCTGCTGAAGGGAAGAGAGAGAACAGATGATTGTATGGTTGCTTTTCAAATCCCTAGGTGCTACATTACCCACAGACACATTATTGTCGGCTTTGTCCTTCAGCTACTCCACACCAGTATATGTTAGTGTTGTGTGGTGTAAATATGCACATCCTCAGCAAGTGGACGTAGCTCTTAGTGAATCATGCGGGGTTATTACTGTCTGTCTGAAACCTACCTCCATTGAAAAGATTCATTATTTGGCTGGCATTGCCCCTCCAAAAATACATTGAGGTGCTAGCAAATAATCAAAGAAACAAGATAATACAGCACCAAAACTACCACTTCATGGACACAACCCCCCTAGATAACAGCTAAAACTGAGGAAAAGCTTCCTGCACACACCTCAAGCTCTAAATGTTAAACTGAGAAGAGGCTAGGTTAAACCTATGGAGAACATAGGTTTGAATTCATGAATGCCAGAGAGTTTCTCCCATCAGGACAAAATTAGGTGGACCATCTGGAAGTCATTTAATAGACTTAGAAGTGATGTAGGAAGAGCAACGGATAAACAAATAAAATATGACTACTTGGATACAAGACAAATTTTAATGTGACTGTGGAGAAATTCAATCAATGCAGCATTTACGTGCATGCAACTTACACCCCACCACATGTACAAAAGAGGATCTAGGAAATGGCCCAGATAACACTATTGAAGTAGTCTGCTTCTGGTCAAAAGCAGTCTTAATTATCTTAACATTTTAATGTATTTTTAAATGTTACCTATATTTCACATACATCCATCATTTAAAATTGTGCAGTGCTCTGATATGAAGGAAGGTCTTGTCAGATCTCACCCTTAAAGGCTTAGAGAAGGTGTCTTGAAGGGGGCGCTCCCGTTGGATGGATGTGTGCCGAGAGGTTTAAAGTCCCATTCTTGCACTATACCTCCATGTTTCAAGGGGAACTAAAGTAAGGAAGGTACATGATTGATTTGCCCTATTGTTCAGGTTTCTGCTTGCCTGCCAGCTCCCAAACCTCACCCTTCAGCACTGCCATGCCAGGGGATGGGAGAGGAAGGGGGGGAGTACTGGAAAGAAGCTTCTGTTCTAAGCTCAGTAGGGAATGCTGAACAGGAGGCAGTCCTTTAGGGCAGTTCCCAACCCTTTTTGGCCGCAGCCATAAACACAAAATAAAAGAAATACAGGCCAGATCAGGATTGTATAAGTCGCATAACAAATCCTATGAGGTGTTGTGTGAAGAATTGTTTCCAGTCTTATAAGTTGCATAACAAACCCTATGAGGTGTTGTGTGCAGAATTCTTTCCAGTCTGTGCCCCCCCTTTAAACGCACCACGCCCCCTGTTGAGAATGGCTGCTTTAGGGCATGTGAAGAGATTGCAGTATTTTGCTGTAGTTCTATTTGTTCTTTAAAGCAGGCTTAAAATATTTATTGACAGGTGCCTGGGTTTGCTTGAGCACAGAACTTGCAGCTTTCCCCCATCCTACCCAGTGCTGTAAAAGTAACTGATGGCGCCACAGCTCAAATCTGTCCCCAGCCACTAAAGTATGAATTGAATGTAGGGCAGTCTTGCCAGAAGCAGCTGACTGGAAGCAGTCCTAATAGGCAGAGGCAGCCTTCCAAAATATGGAACCCGCTCAGGGTTTTGCTTTTTAATGTTCTGTTTGTTTCCTGCTTGCAGCACTGACATAGAACAATACCAATAAGATAATGTCTTTGGCCTTTAATTTGTCCAGAGTTAGATTTTTGGCAACAGGGCTAGAAGTCTTGGATTCTTCCATTGTCTGTAACAACTGCTGTCACTAAACTGTCATCCTTGCAACCATCTTCTCTCTTTTATTTATGCTGCAGGGTGTTTTAGTGAGCCTGATGTCTTTCTCATGATCGTTGGCTTACTCAAAGCTGACCATTAGCTAGCCTGGCTAAGGATGTACAGGAGACTCACATTTGCAGATTATGCTGTAGGAGTAGGCTTGGAGATCTCTCCAGCCAAGGATGCAGCTGTGAAACCATCAGAACGGGGGATGCAGTCATTATTGCTGCATGAGAGTGCAACATTGATCTTGTGCTGGCAGAGCAAATCTGTAAGTCAATTCTAAAAATGGGGGCAGTCCAAACAAAACAACACAAAATTGACAACTTTTAAACTGGGCTTCTGATCAGCACCAGATTAGGCACATTTGTAGCAGAAAGGTATGATCTTGCTCTGTGTCATTGTAGTCTCTACACTGAGCATTGAGTTATGATTTTTTTTAAAAAAAGTAAAACTGTCTCATTCAAAAATAGGCAACCCTAAACACAAATAGAAAAGACTAACCTTGCTTACTGCCAAGATGGTGTATAGCAGTGGTCCCCGACCTTGGGCCTTCAGAGGTTCTTGGACTTCAACTCCCAGAAATCCTGGCCAGCAGAGGTGGTGGTGAAGGCTTCTGGGAGTTGTAGTCCAAGAACACCTGGAGCCTCAAGGTTGGGGACCGCTGGTCTATAGGATACCCTCTTGTGCTTACTACCACTCACAAAGAGACACCAAGCAGGGAAAAATCCTAGAACCAGTCTCCTTTTTTCATCAATTCACTACTTTTTACCCAAATACAGAACAATTGTCACGACTGTTTTTAAGTTCTCTAGGTATTAAAATGCCTAGAACAGTGGTTCCTATCCTTGGGTCCCCAGATGTTCTTGGACTGCAACTCGCAGAAATCCTGGCCAGCACAATTAGCAGTGAAAGCTTTTGAGAGTTTTAGTCCAAGAACATCTGGGAAACCAAGGTTGGGAACCACTGGCCTAGAAGAAATAGTAGTGAACACAAGAGGGTATTATTCTGTAGACGTCTTGACAGCTGACATGGGTATCATCACCATTCAGGCTGCCCTTTGCTATGTAAAGTTTGGCATTTTTGTTTTCTTGCTAGCAACGTGAACACGATATTGTGCAGCAGTATCGGGCCATATCCCACATTCATAAACTGGAGTGGGGTTTTTTTTGTTTGTTTGTTTGTTTGTTTGGAAGAACTAATTTATAGCAAAATAGTTTGGCAGAACTCTGTTAAGGGTCACTTCCACCAACAATGATGTTTGAATATTTAGGCTTTTAACATGTTAGGCATGTTTTCCCTATGCTGTTACCTTGACCTTTTCATGTTATTTGAACTAAACATCCTTGCTCAATGGTTGCATGCAGCTGTTCATCTTCATGTGACCCCACACAACTTTTCATGGCTTGATTAGACTAGCAGCCTGATTCAGTTACAGTCGTCTCCCTCCATTGAACCAAGAGGAATAGCCTCAGTCATTTCCTTCCGTTGCTAAATGACGGCTCTCACCCTGGAACTTGGTGTACAGACTTGGCAAACACATTTTTCAGTGGCTTAAATGTATGTTTTTATGAATGAAACTCAAGGAAGTAGAGGTTGCTGACTCACCCGCACACTCAGCCCTGACTCATCTCATTCTGACAGCATTTGGTTTTCTTTTTCTTTTTCTTTAAAAGGAGCAGCAGGAGAGGGACCTCCTTGAACAAATATGTTCCCCCTCGTACGCAAACAGTTGCTGTTTAGGGGTGGATGGCTGTGGATGGTAGGAGTTGTACTTACTGAGTGTGATGCAGTGCTGAAAACAGCACTCAAAAGGCAGGGTGGGGGAGAGAGAGCTTTTGTGAGTGCGTTTAAATGTTGGATTGGATGGGTTTCTTAATGCTAGCATCCCTCTTGTGGAGGTTTGGATATATAACAACCAAAAGAAAGAACACTCACTGTATTTTGGCTCCTTCTGCCTCTCAGCTGTTCAACTCAGCATGGCTTATGCCAGTCTTTCCCAATTTGTTAGGCTTAAAGCACTCCAAATTTTACAATCCCCAGGCAATACTACCTAATGGGCACACTGATTGAGAATTATAGGAGTTGTAGTCACCCACAGGGACGTGGTGCTGCTGCGAGTTAAACCGCAGAAGCCTCTGTGCTGTAAGGTCAGAAGGCCAGCAGTCGTAAGATCGAATCCACGCGACGGAGTGAGCTCCCATTACTTGTCCCAGCTCCTGCCAACCTAGCAGTTTGAAAGCATGTAAAAATGTGAGTAGATCAATAGGTACCACCTCGGTGGGAAGGTAACGGCATTCCGTGTCTAGTCGCGCTGGCCATGTGACCATGGAAACTGTCTTCGGACAAATGCTGGCTCTATGGCTTGGAAACGGGGATGAGTACTGCCCCCTAGAGTCGGACATGACTGAACAAAGTGTCAAGGGGAACCTTTACCTTTAGTCATCCACATCTGGTCAACACCAGATTGGGGAACTGTGGTTTATGTTCTATAGTCCTGGAATGCTTTTACAGTCAAGTAAAAATGTACTGTGGCAGGGATGGGGGCATTGTTAATGAACACTTTGCACGCAATAACAATCACAACTTGCAATGACTTTTACCCTCTTCGTTGTAGCATTGCTTCACATTCAGGCCTTGTGTTTGTAGGTTTTTTCTTTTACAGACACTTTGGCTGGGAATAAGACTGATTCATGCTTATTTTCACAGCTGACTTTATCACCTATGGTAGCAAGACAAGAGCTCTGACAGTTTCTTCCTACCTTGTTTGAAAATTACATGACTTCCATTTACTTCTTTTGAAGGAAGCAGCCACTTGAAAATGTTTTGCTTGTGAGAGAAGCCAGAAAGGCACTCCTTCAGTGTAATTTTCTGCAGTGAACATGATCCCAAGGCTTCCATGTAATGAGGGCACAATAAAAGGTCCTTGTCTACACTTGCATTTTAATATCATAGTAGAGTCTTGGGTCAAGTGAAAAATCATGATTCTGTGTTTATTAATAAGTGTGGTACACCCAAAGAGGTATTTAAGGCAGACAGACACTTCTCACTTTGTAGCCTCTCTGGTGGTGGTACTCAATGTGACAAACCCAGACCTACTGGGATCTATCACACAGTTACTAAGCTGCCACCAACCATTCCCTATAATAAGTCACACAGACCAGGGATGGATTTTTAAACAATAAAAGAATAAGGTTTATTTTAAATACAAACAGGGTAAATAAAACAATCAGGTGAATAAAATAAAGTAACGTGGCTTATTCTTACACACACAAGCATTCAGTTTGGTTCACCTAGAACCTTTAACTTAAAGCACAGACCCTGAACCCATCAGTTCTGGCTAACCAACAGACCCCTGAACCTTTCAGGCTGGTACTCTGACACACAGTAGTACCCTGTCAGACACCCAGACTCCCACAACAGCTTCTTCTTCCCCAGCTGCTGCTTCGTCCCAACCCAGTGTCTCACAGTCTGTCTCAGCATCTCCTCTTCACCACACAGGCATCACATATTTATACAGTACAGCCCCTCCTCCTGATGTCCCGCCTTCCACTCCCCATAGGATGGAACTTTCCCTCCAAACCCATGACAGACAGGTAACATCAGTGCTGTTATGTAACACTTTCTAGTATGGCTTCATCTTAAATGGAGTACAATATAAGCCCCCCTACAACTTCCCGGCTCTCTTTTTTTCTTCCTCTGCAGGAGAAGGATGAAGAAGAAGTCAACATTTCCCAGGAGTCATCTGAAGAGGAGCAGTGAAACTAACCAACTGGTTCTACCTCACAGTTCAGTTTCGATTTCTTGTCAAGTTCTGGGACTGAGGAAGGAACAAAAAATCCTCACCCTTTTCTGAACTCCCCTCCCCACCTCCCCAATGTACTCACAGTTAGAACAGCAAGCTGGAGTACAGTGTGAAACTGATCAGCCATCACAATTGATGTGTAACGTTAATGGGAGAACCATGTATTTTGTTTTTTCTTTCTTTCGACAGGGTTAAATTTTTAGCCTACCAGTTCATATAGTTCTGTTATATCTGTTTTTTTTTCACCTGTCTCTTCAGTATACTCCTTGTAGAGAAAGGAGTATATAAATCTTTATAATAACCACATATTCATGTTGAAAAGAGTGGGCAACCTAGTTTTTCTTGGTCAGTCCATATCTCCCTTTTAGAGAGACCATAACACTCTGCAAAAAGGATATTTTGGCATTGGCAGAAGGCTGTGCCATAGAGGAGAATTGGGAACATTTATTTTTGGGAAGGAAGTGAATATAGTGGGGAAAGGCAGAACAATGAAAAAAACAAGGCAGGCAGTATATTTTTCCTGTCATAAACCATTCACCTGGGTCTTGTTACTAAAGGATTCTTCACTCCATTTCTTCTGGTTCAAGAATGACAAATGATCCTTTCAGTAGGCCCGTGCATTTCTGTTGACAGTATATGAAGCCACAACCTGACCAGATGCTTTGGAGTCAAGATTGCTCTAGGCAAGACTGATGGGATTGGTGTTGGTCTCTCATCTGCCCCCGGGAGTGCTTTTTCCACTGACCACGTTAACAGTTTCTCCCATCCTCTTCCATTGTATTCGCAATTGCCACTGCCTAGGTAGAAAGGACTTGCCATGTCGGGACCTACAGTGAAAAGTTCTTTCCCATGGTGCTCTCAGTCATTCTGCACAGAAAGGGTTACTGGATCTTTTTTTTAAAAAGTGAGACAAGACTTTACCAAGACCCCACAAAGCAGGATGGCACCCCCAATTTCATGGGTCTCTTTGGGCTTGGTGATTTTCGGCATTGGAAATAGCACAGTTTGTGTTCTAGCTACAGTTGTCTTTTCAAAACATGTTGTCTTTCAAGGTTTTTCTTTTTCCTTCATCCACAACTACCTCTGGATAATTTAAGTTTCATTCTCTTAAACATGGAGTTGCTGCTGTTTGGAACTTGCTGCTGCTTCCGATGCTGCTGTACCGGTTACTATGTTTTTATTATTGCAACAGGTTCTGTCTGGTTTCTTTCTCTGGAACTGATGTTTTACACTATAGATATCTTTAGTTTGAGTTGACTTTTAAGACTATTGTGCTATTTTTTTAAAAAAAGGGATAAAGTTTTCTTTTGTCAGACTGAAGAGTGACTGAGAAGGGGGAGGTTCTCCAAAGAGTGGCATTTTCACAAGTCACCTCTTGGCGCAGGCAGAGTTATGTATTCGTACCATGGTAACAACACATTGTGATGTACAGTGATCACAAATAGCATCTGAAAGTATAGTCATACTTTCCTTTCGGCCATTGTGCATTAGAGAAATGTACCTCTTTTTAAAAAAAGAGTAGCAACAAATATGAAGAGGTGGCACTGGTTATTTCTTAACAAAGCCCATATGTTTATCAAGCACTTCAAGGTGGAGGAGCTGTCATGTATTGATCTAATATTGGTGGCTGTGTCAGTTTCCTATGCTGCTTGCTTCAAGTTCAATTTGAGAGATCAGTAAGATTACTGATTTCCAGTCATTATTTGGCACAACCTTCCTTTACAGCAGCTAGGACCTCACATGGTTCACTTTCTGTCTTACATACATATCCTTTTTGCTTTAGCACTTTGGTTCCTCAGACAAGCTGCTGATGTGATGTAGCCCAAGATCCAACACCATCCTGTCATGGATCTTTATATCCAATAATAACCTTTTTCTTAAAGCCAGCAGAAGATGGACAACCACCTTCTTGAAGTGCTGTATAATTCCAAAAATTGCTAGAGAGAGGGTCTTTGATCTGACAAGACCAAGGAGTGGCTCTGCCTCTATTTTGCGCAAGTACCCCTCTTAAAAATGCAACAGTGGCCCTCTGTTGTTGAGACTGACATTGGTCAAGATCAGGAGAGCATGATTTGCACAATGCCTGAACAAATCACTTCTTCAGTATACAGGTTGAGGATTAATGCTATGGTTGAACATTACGTCAACATGAAGTTGAAGGGGCAGGGGACTAACTTCACTGTTTGCCATTCAGGAGCTATCTGTCCTTAATTTTTACGATTTTGCAGTTGTTATATCAGGGAAGTAGCAAGAAAGGGACAGTCTGTATGTCTGCCTCTATAACTGTTAAAAGAGCTGGATGGTCCTTTCCCCATCCTGCTTCATCTTTTGAGCCAGTTGATGCCATGGGTATAAAAGCAGTTTGTCAGTTTTGTATTGATGACAGTATTGCAGATGCTTCTAAAGCAATTCTACAAAACCAGGCAGGAAAAACAATAGGGTAGTAAATGGTTTGTAGGTTATGTGAATCTCTGATTCTTGCTAAAGATTTCTTAACCTCCTATTTGCAATTTACTTGAATAAAACACTTAATTGATGTTTCATTGCATCTCTTCTGAGTTTTGTTTAAGGACTGTCTGAGAATGTGGTCTTTACACGTGTCTCCAAAGCTGTATTCAGTGAGCATTTGTGTACACATAGCAGGCCCAGTTAGGCGTGAGAACTTGGAAAATCTTCCTCAAAATATACAGAGAGGGATCATATCTGTTGCACCATCAAATGTGCCACTTCTTCCATATCTAACACCATTAGGCTCTATCTTGTTTTGCAGTGTCTACTTGGGGCTAAAGTATTGTTTATAGCAGGCAACATCTTTTTTAGTGGCAGTAGAAAGTGTTCTAAAGCCCAGTGCAAGCATAGACCATCTCCATATCTTTCCCCCTGAAACTGCTGCTTTCCAGCTACCTTTTTACTATTAACTTTCAGTCCAGAAATAAATCCTTCACCCTTTAAGAAGATAAAAGCCCTAAAGTACAATCTTGGGAGGTGGATGGAGGAGGCATCAGAAGGTCTCATTTGTACACAGGAGTTATGTAAAGTAGTATATTATAGCTAGTGTAATTTGTCATGTCAATATGATAAAACACTTGAGTTCCATTTGGCAAGTTCATGTTTATTTGTGGCTAAGTTCAAATTGTTTTGTGAATACTTGTGTAATTCAAGGACAGCGAATGGGTGGCTCTCCAGATGTATTTACACTGCAGCTCCCATGATCCCTTAACATTGGCCGTGGCAGTCCAACATCATCTGGAGGCCCAAACATTCCTCGTGCTGCTGTAGTTTCATACCAAGAATCTGAAGCACTTCCTGAACATAATGTATCCATCTGCTTGTTGGGCGTTAGGTTAAGCTGGCCTGAGCCAACACTGTGACAATAACACCACATAAATTAGTTTTAATGGCAAAAACCCTTATCAGAGCCTAGAAGTGCCTCCTAGTTACAACAGAAATTAGCCCTGTAGTCTCCAAGCTGACCTAAAATATATGAAAATAACCATCTTAAATCTGATTGATTATACTGGGTAAATTCTTTAGATAGATGCAGCTCCTGAACACTTGATTAGGACATTCTCTCAAGCACTCTTTATCAATGAACAACTTTAATTCGGTATATGTACTGCTACCTGGGACGATAGTTAGTTACCTCACACCATATGACCCAGCAGCGATGGAGTCCAGGTGAGAGAGAATAAGCCTTCACTATGTTTCACTCTTCTTTCTGAACAAACTTTAAATTTCACTGGATGCCTAGATATACTTGTCCACAGAGAACAGAATTCGGACATCATACTGAATGCCTCTCCCTCTGGAAAAGAGGTGGGCAAGCTCAAAGGGTCATGTTTCTGGCCTCAGCTGCTTCTGAGGTCACATGGTGTCTGAAAGTGGCCACTGCAAAATAAAAATAGGAAAATATGTAGGAAGTAGGAGGGCTATAAAGGACAAACCCCACTCCTAGAAGCTTCTAAGAAGTAGAGAACCCTATCTGGATTTAAAAGACTGAAGACCTTTGTGTGTGCCAGAGTGCCTCCGGGAACTACATGTGGACCAAAGGCCATAGTTTGCTCACTCCAATCTAGTGTGATGTGGGCTTATGTTATAGCAAAAAAGCTATAAGTCTAGACAGCTCAAACATATCTCTTCCTAGTCAAGTGCCAATTCATGTGACCAAAGACACACGTATATGGCTTATATATGTAGATCAGGGGTAATTAGAGGTGCAGGGTATGGTCCTCCATAGGTTGTCAGACTGCACAGTTACTCACCCCAGTTTAAAAACTGAAGACTAATAATACTGTAGGTTGAACTCCAAGATTAACCTCTCCCTGTAGTGCCTTCTATCCAGATGAACTCAACCCTCCCATCACACCTGCTTTACCAGCTGGAATTCTGCAAAAGTATATTGAAAAGTATAAAAATAAATAAATTTACCCTGTATCTGAAGGGAGATGGTTAATGGAACATGCACTGTAAGAAGTTTCCTCCTAGTCTATTTGTCATGTATAAACTAATTTTATTGCTATATCCACAGACTTCATATTTATTTCTGGTTTTTTGCCTGTCAGCAGCCATCTAGAACCAAAAATGCATTGTTAGGCATTGGGATACAGAATTCAGAATAGCAGCCTGGCATGATCTTAGTCCTGCGTGTGAAAACTGAGACGCTTTGTTAGAATAAGGGGGGGGGGGGAAGAGACACAAAGGCGAAATGAGTGGTAATACATATCTTGCCCAGCTCAATAGCATAGCTCTCTGATGACAAGTTGTGTGTATTAGTTCCTTGCTGGGCAGCAACAGGACAAGAAGTTTTCTGTCTCAGTAAAGCCAACATGGCCTCTCCCCACAAAAAACATCATCCTCCATGGTGGTGGGGTGAGTGGTACCAAGGTGTCAGAGAACAGCATTATTGGTTACATAGTTTGCCTCTACTGCTGCTTTGCAAGATGGATTTTATTTACAAAAAAGATCAGCTTCCCAATACAAAACCATCAACACATGAAGAACCATGTTGAGGAACTCAGTCCTTCTCTGAAGGAAGCAACTCCTCAAGAATACACTCTGGCCCCATCTGCTAAATATATCATCCTTGACCTTCCTAGAAAAACTGTGCCTAGAATACAGTGTACTCATTAAATACAATTCAGTAAGGAAGAATAGCACATCGTAACCAACCATACACTCAAACTATGTAGCTATTTAGCTTCACTGTAGCTATATATTCACTCTCTCTCCATCAAGAGTCAAGTCATGGGATCCCAAAAGCTAAGTGATACACCCTTTATATGCATGTGTATGCACGATAGGCGGCAGCTAGCAAATGCACTGGAATGTCATAGCAGCTGCTGCTTTGATGCTGCTTATTCACAAAAGAAGCAGAGATCCCCTGGGCTTTTTCTTTCTTCTCAACAAGGCTCAGCCTTTTGAGAATTGCAGCTCATAGGACTAGAGTTACTTTCACCTGAATTTTCAGAAGCTTGAATCTCTCCAACATCCATCTAAAATTCAAACCAAGAGACAGAGTAGTATGTGGAATGTAATCCAGATCCAAAAGTACAAATTTCCAAACAACCTAGACAGCTCTGTACATGATGCTCATGGGCAGCTGAGCTCACAGCATGGCCATATCCATTTACCTTCTCCCCCTGGGAGTCAAGGCAAGAAAGACACAGTACTGAAGTGGAAAGAAGGCAGCAGGTTCAAAGTTAATGAAGTGAATGCTTCAAGGTGGCACACAGGCCAGGCATATGAGGTCATCCATATCCATACACCCTCTTGTGGTTGAGCTGAGCCAGTGTCAAGCCTTCACATCCATAAAGGAGCCACGGTAGGGCTGGTATCCTCCCCAGCCTCGCATCACCTGTAATATGCAAGAGACATAGTCATTGTTTCCACCATAATACCTTTCCATCTGCATTAACCTGTTAGTGAGTGAGCAAGGGCCACCATTAAGAGCAGCCTACATCAGAAACTGCTAGCCTGTTGTTAAGGCAGGTTGTTTCTCTTCTATCAAGCCAGGGTTAGAAGAAAGAAACTGGACATTGTATTCGCGAAGGCTTTCACAGCCAGGATCTAATGGTTGTTGTGGGTTTTTCGGGCTATTTGGCCGTGTTCTGAAGGTTGTTCTTCCTAATGTTTCGCCAGTCTCTGTGGCCGGCATCTTCAGAGGACAGCACTCACAGAGTGTTCTGACCCTGGCTTGATAAGAGTGCTGTCCTCTGAAGATGCCGGCCACAGAGACTGGCGAAACGTAAGGAAGAACAACCTTCAGAACATGGCCAAAGAGCCCGAAAAAACCACAACAACCAAACTGGACACTCTTGAATTGGTGATTAAGATCAAAGCAATCAACATTTACAAGAAGAAGATGGCACAATGGGAGCTTCGATTTTCAACAGATCATCTCCTGAACATCTATAACAGGCCATTTTATGTCATTTAAACTCGACTTCTGTTGGCAGATGGAGTACGGGCAATGGAAACCAAATACCCATATTAGGGGTTGTTCTGGGGGGGGGGAGACTATCCTTTGCCATAGAACTTCTGTGAGAACATGGTAGGTGTTATCAAGATTTGTAGTTGTCTGCATTGCATATGTGTGTGTGTTAGAGAGAGATTCATAAATTTGCATAGACTCATGCTTTTAATAATAAGAATTCAGAAGCTTTTAAGTACTTAAGCAGAAGATCCATATCTAGGAGAACAAGTATTTCCAACTCTCTAGAGACTAGAAACATTTTCAGACACTCTGATGCCCAAGTGTGTTTTCAGGTATGAGTACAAATGCCCAGTGGGCAGGGCACAAAACTGAGATGGGATTCATGTTTCCAGTTAAAGTATCTTCCTGCTTCTGTTAGTAGATCACTGTCTATATTATGTAACGGCAAAAGAGGTTGTGCATGGGCAGCACACTGCAGCATTCAGATCAAGCTCTGTTAAAATATGCAGCAGAAGTACTGGCTACATGTAATAGAAAACCTACATATATTTTTGACTAATACAGTTTCTCACACACATAAGAACTACTTGAATCACTTAATGCAAGCTTTCTTTTTATCGGCAGTACAAAAAGAACGCTTGGCTTCTCTGCACTCCTATTGCTTGCATATAGTGCTTCCCAGACTTCTGGAAACTGAATCCTTCCATAGTTCAGGCTCATGTTTCTTTCGCTCCTGTTTTGGCAGGAGACAAGAAATACCTGAGAACAAAGGTATTTAATGTTTCTTAGCACAAAAACTACACAAACGCTGTGCTGTGCCTTCCACAGCCACGGGAGGCAACTTGTGGATGGTGGAGACATAGACAACTTTAGCCCAATTCCATATAAAAAAGGGAGAAACACTAAGACAGCTATTGCCTCATGCTATTCTCAGGAGGGGGGTGTCAAAGAAGAAAAGATAGTGAGTATTGTAAGAAAGAAATAGAGCTTATGGGTAGCCCCTAACAGTGGCACAGAGTCCACCACCAAGTGAGATCTGCGACCAAAAAAAAAAAACAAAAGTAGCCTGAATGATCACTCACTTATGGTATGAATACCTATGCGCCCAAGAAGCAGGGCACAATCCTGAAAGTCAAAATTAATGTTTTGACCCACTCCTGCCACTTACATCTCTTTCCCCTGCAGAAATGAAAGGACCCCCAGTTATGAAGCAAGTCATGCTACCTAATCTATATAACCCCAAGGACAATGCAACTGTCAAAGGGAACAAAAATGGTGGATCAAAAGGCTCATAGTTTCTCTCTTTCCTTACCCACTACCCCCAGAACCTGCCCATATCCAAGTAAAAAAGATTACAAAACAAATCACCCATGCACACAGAACGTAGCGTCTCTCACTGAACCACAGCTTTGCAGGGCCCTGTCATTTGCAGCATTCCAACTCACTTTAGTGTCCTCTGGCTCCACCAGGAGCTCCTGCTCAGCCTCATGCAGCTCCTCCGCAGGATCATAGCTGTACATTGGCAGCAAGTGATGGCGCAGTCGGTCATACCTGAGACCAAAATTGGCAGATGTGACACCGCTTTGATACAGTCCTTCTCAAAAGTACAGCCTAGGCTTGCTCCCATGCCATAGGAGGCTACACCCATGACAGTATTAGTGGTTCAACAATAGTTGATCTGAGCCAGTGAAGTCATCTCAAAGCAGGGGAAGGAGGCATTGGATGACTTTTTTTGTTCCACAAAAGTTTTCAAAGACATTTTAAGATTTTTAACATGTCTAATTTTGAAGGTTAGGTAACATCTTTATCAATCCATTCTTTTCCTCCCAGCATGTTACACGAATTAGGTAAAACCTTTAACCCTGCAGTAGTAGATGCAAAGACCTAATGCTCAACTCAAGAGGCTGGGTTTACACAACTGCACTTTTCATTTTCTAATAAGTGATCTGTATTTCCAGTCTACTGAATAAGCCTTTCATTATGTACATTACCATATCATGTACATAAAATAAAATCCCATTCTTACTGTAAATAATAGGCAAAACAACAGCAAAGCAGAAATGATGATGCTTTTTCTGAACTTCTAACTTTTGATTAAATGGAACAAGTCACACTGCACATATTTAAGCTTACTTCTGCAACCACCACTTGCGGCTTTTTGTCTTACATCTATTAACACATACTTATAGTGACAATAAATATACACAATAGAATGTGTGCATACACATACGTACACCCACATTAAGCAAAATGTTATTAAACTATAAACTAGATTTTAGTAATGTAACTCTATAATAATATTTATAACTGTTGTTAATAATTATACTTAAATTATACAATACTAAATGGATTTATAGTTTTGAATTATAATGAATTAGCATCAGGACTGTTTTTCTGCTCCAGTGTGGCAACCCAGTTCTACCTCAACTCTCTTCAAATCATAACCCATGTCAGGTACTGGTTTTATAGTTGAACAGTTATTCAGAACCAACATTCTTCTTGATATTCCATACGTTCCAGTCACACAGCAGTACAGTGGTGCCCCGTTTAACGAAGAAATTGCATAGCTGATATTCCATATGTTCCTCGCTTAACGGGCGCCCTGTTTAACGAAGAAATCGCATAGCGATGAAGATTTTGCGATCGCAAAAGCGATCGCATTGCGATGTTTTGAATGGGGAAAAATCGCTTTGCGATGATCGGTACCCTGTTTCACTTACCAATCATCGCAAAGTGACGATTTTTTAACTGCTGATCGGCGGTTCCAAAATGGCCTCCGGGTAAAAAAATGGTCGCCCGCTGTTTTCTGGGACGGATTCCTCGCTTACCGGACAGCGAAAATGGCTGCCTTATGGAGGATTTTCATTTAAAGGTGAGTCTGAAGCTCACAGGAACGCATTGAAGGGGTTTCAATGCGTTCCTATGGGCTTTTTAATATCGCATAGCGACAAAATTGCTTTGCAGCGATTTTTGCTGCACCGATTATCGTCGCTATGCGAGGCACCACTGTAGATGCCAACCTCCTTAGAGCAGCCGTCAACCTGTCTGAAAACCTATTGAGTCACCACTGACACTAATTTGTATCATCAAATTGCTGTTAGCATAACTAATATTTTACCATAAAGGCATAGATTATTTAACTCAATGCATACACTTTACTACCAACCAAAATCCAGCTGCCAAAACAAGCTGCAATGTGAAAAGGATATTATAATAAAGTACACTAGGTTAAAAAATATAGCTAATGGCTGTCAAAAGGTCCAAATGGAGACAGCATCTGGCAGGATGCATTTCACAAAACATCTGTGCCAGCAAGGAAAGCAGCACTTGTCCCACCGTCCTATTAAACAGATGTCCAGTACTCCTTCTTGATGCCTCCAACAAGTCCACTAAGCAGCAAGCCAGGGACTTCTGTAGCTGACAGCAACATAGCTTCACTTCTGACCCACAAAGGCAACAGAGAGGTAGTGCTACAAGGAATTGCTGTTTTAGGCAGGTTAAATCCAGATCACAAAGTGCCAAAAACTCTTGTCAGTAGATATACATTACATGTTCATAGCTCAAATAAATATTCATATGTTATTCACCTACTTGGTGAATAACATAAATGGGATAAATACCAGTCATTTTTAGCCAGTAAGAAAAAGACTAATTCCCAAATGTTTTAAATTCTCCCAGTTTGGTTGCTTGGAAAAGGTTCTTATTCAAGTGGCCATATGGGAGACTAATGCAGTAATATCCTTTCTTTAAGGAACAAATGGATTTAAGGGAGCGAAAAGAAGCTGGTTGGGTACAATCTGACAAATGTGCATTCGTTTTGTTTACCACATAAAATAATGACAAACAGATAAGTTTCCTAGCAAGGTCCCTCCGCTCAATGATAGCTACTCCTATTCCAATTCTGCAGGGCAGTTCAGTGGAAGGAAGGAACATTGAATAATTACATTTTTATTGCTATCAACTGTTCCCATCATAAAATAACATTATACAACTTGAAATTATCTAGCAAGCTAGTTTATGACAGCTCTATATCTAAAATCACTCAAGCACACAGATGACAGCAGAACACAGTCTCTTCTGTTCTCATGCTGAACTGAAAGCTTGTGGGCTTTTCCCCCTAGTTTTTTTTTAAAAAGTTAATTCTAACTAGCCACATGACTCAGCCTCCCCATGATCCAATTACTTGCCCAGTGCAATTACTTACCTCCTCTTCTTCTGGATGTACATCATCTGCAGTGTGAAAGGAAAGAAAGAATAATAAGTATAAGAGAAGGGTTATTTTTCCTTAGAGGGAATAAAGCATGGAACAAGAAAAAGGAGGAGTAGCAACACAAGGGAAGTCAGAAGTACGATCAGCATTTTTCTACAGTAGTTTGTTTCAAAGACCCAATGCTGGCGACAGGTATGTCACAATACATTAGCAGAGACAGTCTTACAGGGAGCACTCAACTAACTGGCTCTCTGTGTCAGATGACCATATCAGAAGCAGCTTGATGACAATAGTACAGCCGGTATGGATATCCCTTAGCCCTTTCTTCTCGAAGTAAAGAAGATCCCATTCCAACATCTATTTTATGAATGAGGGCAGAGGCCTCATCACTTTAATTCATAGTTTCTGGGCACCTTAAGGATAATGAGTCACAAGGGCCAGATTTAATGCTGTAAAACAGTGGGTTTTGTCTGCAACCCATTGTTTAACCCAGGGTAGGAAAATACTTCCGATTCCCTTGGCAAGATTTCTGCTTAAAAGTCAACATTCTTAAGGACACATCTTGTTAGATATCTTGCTCTCTGATAGAGATCCTTAAGTAGCAAACACTTGCATGCCTTAGTTAAGTTACGAAGGACACTTTCACAGGCATCTTCCCCCTTTAAAGCAAACAAAAATGGGGCCCAGTTCCTTCCCATTCACTTGTCTGTACATTTTAAAGGGGAAAGCCTCTCTTAAAGACACAGGTATCTCTTTAAAACAGGAACTGTAATCATGCAGTTTACTTAGATCAGTGGTTTCCAACCTTGGGTCCCCAGATGTTCTTAGGACTACAACTCCCAAAAATCCTAGCCAGCACAGCTAGTGAAGGCTTCCAGGAGTTTCTATCTAAGAACATCTGGGGAGCCAATGTTTGGAACCACAGGGTCTTAGATGCTTTCACCCAGCCACAAATGGTCTCACTAAATGGCCTCCTTGCCACCAGCATGCAGTTTTAGCTGTCCAGAGAAACAAATGTATGGACTTTTCCACAGAGTTGACTTAATGCATGGCCTCCTATAAATTCAAGTAACCACCTGCATTAGTGCAAATAAGAGCGACCTGCATTTCAGGGCAGGGCAAAAGGGGCTCTCTAAGGCCTAAGAGAGTCCAGATGGATTGGGGGGGGGAGAGGGGGACAATTTAGAAAGAAAGAAAGTGAGTTTTTTAAACCTTTTAGGTCACAGTGGAAACAGAGCCAGAGCCAGTGTGGGGAGTTGGTTCGTGATGGATTGGGACTTGGGAAATTTGAGTCCTAGTCTCCACTGGGACAAGACACTTGCCTGGTGACAACAGGCCAATAACTCAGCTTGGCCTACTTCACAGGGTTCCTATGAGGATAAAACATGGAGAACAGAAGAATATATACGGTATTCTGTCTCAAGCTCACTAAGACGGACTAAATTTGTAATTCATAACTTCTCCACTACTCTCTATTTCTTTGTTGTACTCCCAGCTACAAAAAACTGTTCCGCTCATAGCAAAACAATCAAGGCCTGTGCAGCAATAAACCAAGGTTATCATATATCTTATGGTGTCATGTTAATCCCCATCGGGCTCATTTTGGAAAACAATCAGCAAATGCTGCTGACAGAAATAAACGGACCATCTTCTATAGCTAACTACCCGTTACTGAAACAGCAGCACTTCATCTGACTATGTAATTCAAGAGGAGGCAACTTGTCCCCCACCTTCAGATTCTGGATGGCAATTTCCATTTCCACAGCCAAGGACTGGGGATGATGGGAATTGTAATCTATCAACATGAGGAAAATCACAACTTATATACTGTCTTAACTGGGAATTTATAAAAACAGGAGTCTGAAGAATTCATGCTGACACAGTTTGTTCTTCCAAGGGAAAAAGACTGCTTCTGTACAGTACTACATTGTGAAAGTTATTACTGGTATAATTCAAGCCACTCACCACAGCCATGATGACTCCGACTATGGTAATTAGAAAAAACGGCACCAAAACATAGCCCACCAAAGAGTCGTTGGCCGGTCCAGGAGAGGTGGGCATGGTGGTGTTATTCATGGCATCGGAAAATATCAAGGGTGATCACAGTGTCTGTCTTCATTGGGAAATCCACCTCACAATTACAAAAGCAGACAGTTTAAGATTAAACACATTATTCAAGCTACCATAACCTATTTGTCTCATCTTCCCTCGCACCCTGCCCCAACCCACAAACAGTTGTGCATCACAGGGCAGTATCTGGAGTCACAAGCAAGTCACATGCCCGCCCCTCCCACTAGGTTCGCTGGTAAATGCAACCCTTTTTAGTGGCATTTTGCTTTGAGGCATGATCTGCAGCTGAGATAGAGGACTAACAGGCAAGAGAAGAGGTTCTTTAACTGCTCCCTATTAACAAATGCCATCTGCCTGAGGCGGTTTTATTCTGAAAAAGGCAATTTCACAAAAAAGGGAAGAGAAACTGAAGAGGAAAGGATGACAGCAAAGCCAGCAGTACTGAAACTTCACTGAGCATTAAGCCATTGAAAATGCAAAGCAGAATCCAACTCACACGCAACCTCCCACTCTCTAAATGACCATACTGGCTAAAAATGGTAAGAGCTGCTCTGTAAGCAGGGGTTGGAAAAGTGCCTTTGGGGACTATAATTCCCAGAACTCCTCAACTAACTTGGCTGGGCGATTCTGCAAACAGCAGTTCGAAAGGAAATAATTTCACCCAATTTTGTCTCAAGGGCACTACATAAACATCTGATCTAATGAGAAAAATCAGTAGTACACTGGAGAAGGTCAGCCTCATCCCAATGTTTTTACCAAACATACCACCATCACATTTTTAGATAAACACAGTTGTACAAAACTGTCAACCCTCCCAACATACATTAAAACATATGAAATATTTTTCTGGGCAGGTTGGCATGATTACAGCTCTTTCATAACGGAAGGTCACTGTTTCCAGCCTCTACTACTGGAGGAGATAAGACTGCTATAACTAAGGAGGAGGATCATAGCTTAGTTAGGAAATACAGGCTTTAAATGCGGAACGTCTCGGATTCTCAAGTGGAAGACCGATGAGAGCTGCCAGACTGAGTCCCTGGTGTCTCAAAGGTTTCCTATCCAATAAATGCCACTGCTAGCCAATCCAGGTAAATAATGATGGGCTAGGTGAACACAATATAAGGCCGTCTTCCATGTTCCTTATGTTTCTGAATGATGTCCTCATGCTCTGAATCTTTCACAGCACTCATCATTCTGTGCAATTTCTACCATGAAACAAGAAAATACTCTTTTAGGGACATTTCAAAGCTCCCTGCCGAGTTCACGCCTAATGATGGAATAGGAGCTTGGAATAGGACATTTTCAGTCAGGTAATTACAAAGTGCTTTACCCGGGAAGTGACAAACTCAGAAGAAATGGTGTAGCTCTTTCAGTGAGGCAAAATGTACAAGCAGTAAAGATTATAATGAAAATTATGACTGAATAATATCAGCCTTCATCAAAAGCCTCTCATTCTACCCATAATTCATAATTATGCTCCAACTACAGATGAAAAACTGGAAGAGTTTATGCAGGTATCCAAAAGAAACTGATCACACACCAAAACAGGATGTTTTGACTACCCATTGGTGACTAGAATTCAATAATATGACATATTGTTGGAGACTGTGACCTAGCAGTTAGGAACAAAGCAGAACAACTAACAAAATTATGGAAAGTTAACAACTTGCAAATTGCAAATATATGCTTCAGACAAAAAAACAGAAAGCAACATATGTGTACATTACTGGATGGCCAATATGGAAATCAAATAGACTACTTAATCAGAAACAGGCAAGCTCTATTCTTTCTGTGAAAACAAGACCAAGAGTAGACCATTATAGATAGCACAAACCATTAATAGGAAAAATTAGAGTGAAACTGAAGACAACTAAAAACAATTATAGTTCCAAAATAAAACATGCCATTATTGTTGACTTTAAGGACCATGTAAATAAAACATCTGCATTACTGTGAAATTAAATCATAGATATCATCTAGGAAGAATACAAAAGGATTCTTGCCACAAAAAGAAAACAGAGGAGAAGAAATGCTCCTATAAGTGTCTGATGAAACCATTAAATGTTTAGGGACAGACACAAAGGTTTTTAAAAGTGATGGAAATAAGGTCAGACTAATAAATGCAATGTTTCAACAATTAACATACTGAGACAAAGAGTACAATTATATTAATCACTCAAAACAGAATAGAATGATAAAAAGAAAAAAGAAAGATGTCTTTAATAAGATCCAAGAAATCAGAGATAAACTTAAACTATGGTTAGACATACTGAAAGATCAACTGGGGAATATATTATCTAATCAGAATAAAATAAAGAGAAGATGGACATGATGTATCAAAGCACTATACAGAAAAGAAGCAAGAGTGAGCAAATTAAGAACCACTGTCTATTATTTTCTTGAAATCATGGAGGATGGGTGAAAAGCTGGATAAGGGCTAACATAGTCCCTATCTTCCAAAAGGGCAAAAAGGAGGAACTGGGCAACTACAGACTGGTTAGTCTGACATCGATCCCAGAGAAAATTCTGGAGCAGATTATAAAGCAGTCACTCTTCAAGCACCTTGAAAACAATGTAATAACTAGAAACCAACACAGATTTGTCAAGAACAAATCTTGCCAATCTAATCTTATCTCATTTTTTACAAAGTGGCCCATAATATTCTAATTAGCAATCTAACCAGAAATGGGCCAGCTAGAACAAATGTCAGGTGGATATACAGTTGGTTACAGAATCATATTCAGAAAGCGCTTATCAATAGCTCCTTTTCAAAAATGGAATGAGGTAACAAGAAGGGTTCTCCAATTCTCTTCAACGTTTTTATTAACAACTTGGGTGGGGGAATGCAGGGAATGCTTGTCAGATCTACCGATGACACAAAACTGGATGGAATAGCTAATACCTTGGAAAACAGGAATAAAATTCAAAAAGATCTTGATAGACGTGAGCACTGGGCTGAAAACTACAGGCTGAAATTTATCCAGGATAAGTGCAAAGTTCTACATGTGTGGGGCAGGGGAATAAATGTACAGTTACAAGATAGGGAATACTTGGCTCAATATTACAAGTGGGAATGATCTTGGATTTGTCTTAGATCAAAAGCTGAATATGAGCCAACAGATATTACGGCTGCAAAAAAGGCAAATGTGATTTCAGGATGCATTAACAGAAGAATGGGCTAAAAATCCTGTGAGGTACTAGTTCCCCTCTATTTGGCATTGGTTAAACCTCATCTAGAGCAGCGTGTCCAGTTCTGGACATCACACTTCAAGAAAGATGCCAACAAACTGGAGCAAGTTCAGAGAAGGGCAAAAAAAAAGGTGGTCGGGAATGGAAACCAAGCCCTATGAGGTAAAACTGGGCATCTTTAGCCTTGAGAAAAGAAGACTGAGGGGAGATATGATAGTACTTTTCAAGTACTTGAAAGAGCAGGATTTCTTTCTTGATCATCCCAGAGTGTAGGATATGAAATAATGGCCTCAAGCTACAGAAAGCCAAATTTAGGGTGAATGTCAGGAAAAATGTAACTGTTAGAGCAGTATGACAATGGGACCAATTACCTCAGGAGTAGGTTAGCACTCCAATGCTAGAGGCATTCAAGAGAAAAACTGGACTACCATCTGTCAGATCTGCTGTGATCTGGACTCCTGCACTGAGCAGGGGGCTAGACCCGATGGCCTTTTAGACCCTTTCCAACTGAGTTATTCTATGATTTTATTATTTCTTCAATAAAGAATCTTCTGTGGTGTTTTCACCAATCCTGAGGTTCTCTGACAGGCACTTTAGGCAAAATCTCCCAACATATTTTCCTGAAAAAAGTACAACTGCATGAAATTGCTACTGCAGAGCTTATCAGGTAGTTATGCAACATTTGGAGGAATAATCAGAGAGAGACTTGCTATCATCCAAGTGAAATCTTGTAGATAAATGTAAGATTTATGAGACCACAGAACCTTTTCATCATGCCCAATAACATGTATCAAGATGTCACAGGGTAGCTTGAGCACTATATTTGGCAAGCTAGTCATTGTCCAGAAAGAAGTGTAGCTTACCCTAGAGCAGGATTGGTAACCCTATGGCCTTCCAGCCTCTTAAGATATAATATGGGAGGACCCTTTTCATATACTAAGAGGAGAGTGTACCCTCTTCTCTGTGGATAACATCTTCTTTCATCCTTAATGATGGTGAAATATGGGTCTTGCCCTGGGCCATCTCGGCCATCTTGGCTTATATAAACATAAGCAATACAAGTTCTTTGTGAGATTTTCAGGCAACTCCTACCACACAGTCTTCCCTCACTTTGTTTTCACCAATCCTGAGGTTCTCTGACAGGCACTTTAGGCAAAATCTCCCAACATATTTTCCTGAAAGAAATGTATAGCTTGCCCTAGAGCACAAGTGGTAACCCTATGGCCTTCCAGGCCACAGGTATATCTTCTTGATATTATCTAATTAAGCATGAAGAATATACTCACTGAAGACACACATGGAACATTATCAGTGAGAATATTTACTATTTTAAAAAGTGTTGCTTTCGTTTTCTTTGCACCCCCAAACATTTACAGCGCTGATTATTAGTTGCTGTTGCAACCACAAAGCAGTATTTCTATGGAGATAGACAATTAGGAACCCAATCCAAAATTAGCACCTCAACAACTAGACACACTCTCTAATTCCCTTGGATTGCACCATCTATAGCCTAGTGAAAGAAACAATGGAATAGCCTCCAAAACTGTGCTGAAAAAAACAAGCACAAGGGTGAAACAGAAAGAAGAGGATGAAATGACTGGTTCACCTTATTTTGTAATGATGTACCACAAACATGGTTAAGCCCCTGTATCCATTTATGAACTAAACTTTTCACAAGAGAAAACTCCCTTGGGATCCTAAGGCAGAGGCCCTTTAGCCAGCCTTTGGCAGAAATGGAGTTTAAAGCCATATTAAATCAAGGATAAGACTACCTGATTTCTACAACCCCCAACCATAGGTACTGAACGCCTACCATACATCCTAAACACCAGAACTTGAGTCAATGGCTGAAATTCTATTACTTAGCACAGTAAGTCACAACTAGGGTAGGCCTACCAAATCCTTGGAACTTACAAAGGAGTTGACTCACCACATCCCAACTGATTCAATAGATCTACTCTAGTTGCAACTTCTGCAAAGCAACATGATTTCTGCCACAATATCTGAGAAAGTCAGCTGTGTGTCCATGAAATGTCATCCTATAATAAATCTGTCAACCCTAAAGGTACCACAGAACTCTTAGCCTGCAATCTATGAGTTTTACAAAAAAAGATACTATGTAGTTTGCTCAAAGCAATAGACAGATTGATAAGGATTCAATTCAGGCGTTTGTCAAAAGAAAGGACAGTAAATTGATAAATGTGACACTTATGTCTTTTGTGGAATCTGTAAACTCCATCTTCCCAGCAAACTGTTTTCAAGAGCAAAGGGCATCACATTTGGCCCAAATTTTGGCCCACTGCTTTTGCTCCAAACTTGTTATCACCTCTGATTTAGAGTTCAGGTACATTCAAAACCTTACCTTGTTTGCAACTTTTTAATGATGAAATACAGATATTACCCGAGTTTCTAAGGATGAATCACAAAAGCTACTTTTTCGACCAAACTCTATTATGATGCTGCAACAGACTAGCGCAGCTGCTCCGTCAAAATTGCTAGTTTCAACATGATTAGGCCCAGTTCTGAAACACTGCTGCTCCCCAGATGTCAGAGCCCACCAGTCAATGTCTTTTTCCCCTTGCCTCGTAGAGAACTGACGAACTGCAGACGCGGTGGCTGCAATCCTGCCCACTAGAAAAACACCACCACCACCACCACCCCTAGAGACTACTTCTAAATAGCCCCAGAATCGTACTGGTAAGGCTGCCAACTCTGCACGCCTTCAGGTGGGAAGGCCGACTGGACCCTCCTTAATAAACCTGCCTGAGCTCTTCTCCGAAGAGGTACGCCGGCGGGGTGAAGTGGGGGGGGATATTCGACTGCATCTGCGCAAAACACAGCACCACCACCACCACCACCCCTAGAGACTACTTCTAAATAGCCCCAGAATCGTACTGGTAAGGCTGCCAACTCTGCACGCCTTCAGGTGGGAAGGCCGACTGGACCCTCCTTAATAAACCTGCCTGAGCTCTTCTCCGAAGAGGTACGCCGGCGGGGTGAAGTGGGGGGGGATATTCGACTGCATCTGCGCAAAACACAGCACAGGGATTCGTGAGGGTGGGGGGGGGGTTCCCAGAGTCACTGGGACCTGGATTCCAAGGCGGGCCAGATCCTGCTCATCACTATGTTGAGGTGAGATTTCAAACCCGTTTTGCCGCTTACCACCTTCAGCCCTCCCAAGGAGTCTTCCTGCAATAGCCGCTCTGCGCAAAATCACTCTCCGAACAGATTCATCTTCCTCCCAGGAAGCTTGGCCCAAACCTAGG